CAGCTGTAGTTGTTGTGTGAGCACCTGTAGTCGAGGGTGCAGTTGTTGTTGTTGGCGAAGCTGTGGTTGTTGTTTGAGCAGTTGAGGTTGTTGTTGGAGCAGCTGTAGTTGTTGTTGGAGCACCTGTAGTTGAGGGTGCAGTTGTTGTTGGAGCAGCTGTAGTTGAGGGTGCAGTTGTTGTTGTTGTTGTTGTTGGAGAAGCTGTGGTTGTTGTTGCAGCAGCTGTAGTTGTTGTTGGAGCAGCTGTGGTTGTTGTTGGAGCAGCTGTGGTTGAGGGTGCAGTTGTTGTTGTTGTTGTTGGAGCAGTTGTGGTTGTTGTGGGTGCAGGTGTAGTAGTTGTTGGGGAGACAGTTGTGGTTGTTGTTGGAACAGCTGTAGTTGTTGTGTGAGCACCTGTAGTCGAGGGTGCAGTTGTTGTTGTTGGGGAAACTGTGGTTGTTGTTGGAGCAGCTGTAGTTGTTGTTGGAGCAGCTGTGGTTGTGGGTGCAGTTGTGGTCGTTGTTGGGGTGGCAATTGTGGTTGTTGTTGGGGTAGCTGTGTTTGTGGGTGCAGCTGTTGTAGTTGTTGGAGCAGTTGTGGCTATCACTGTGGTTGTTTTTGGGCCAGCTGTAGTTGTGGCCGCAGTTGTGGTTGTTGTTGGGGTGGCATTTGTGGTTATTGGTGGAGCAGCTGTGGTTGTGGTGGTAGTTGTGTTTGTTCTTGGGGAAGCTGTGGTTGTTGTTGGAGCATCTGTAGTTGTGACCGCAGTTATGGTTGTTGTTGGGGCTGCAGTTGTTGATATTGGTGTGGTAGCTGTGCAGACTTAGTAGAAAGTATTTTGTTATTTTTACATGTGGTTAGATAATTAAACTAAATATAACAGTTTCTCATGAATATATGTTTGTCTTACCAACAAATAGAAGAAATCTGACACCAATCTTTTCACCCATGGTGATGGTGTTTGCCTTTTGCCTTCTCTAAAAATGATAATTGATGTGGATAACATGTAAAAGAGAGCCTAAAAACATAATCTGTCCACAATAGAAATTTTATTTTGTTCAACTTTCCATAGAATAAAAAATGTTATTTCATTAAACACATTAAA